GCACGGGGGAGGTCGGTAAGGAGAAATGGAGAGAAACAAACCCACACAAGCTGAAGAGGGAGATAACAGACAAGGAAGTGTGAGGATTTACTCCTCACGGGGCCGCACGGTCCTGCCGTCAGCTGCCTATCGGGGTCCCCCACCCTAAGTGAAGGCGGGCATGAATATTCTCAAAGGGCCCCAATGTTTGCTAAATTTGCCTGAGTGTGGGCGCCAGACAGCTACTCGACGCCAGTTGGTTACAGAACAACGTGAGCCTCCTCTGCTGAGCAGTTGAGCCCAGGGCTTGCTCGGTTGAGGCCCTGAGCGCATGCATCCTGAGGCCGACACATCACACACTGGCCGTGGACCAATGAAGAATGCAGTTGCTATGTCACAAACATGCCATGACCCACTGAGACAGCAGCGAACACTTGGAGACTGGTGGACGGTGCAGCTTGGACGCTGCAGGCCCAGGCAACTGTCTGAAGGGGCCCCGGATGCAGACACTTTGGGCCAACCTGAAGCTACTGGGCCCCTACACACCAGGCCCAGGAAAGTGAGCGCCCAGGGGCACAGCATTCTGGCCTGCTCAGGCATTGCGGCCACGCTGCTGCTTTGCCGCGTGAGCGCTGGCTTTAGCGCTGGCAAGCTGGGGTGCACGCGGGCGCTTGGAGGTGAGAGGGAGCTGCAGTGGCAGCTGGCACGTAGCAGCCATCGCTGGGATGCACTGCACACGTGCGGGTAATGGCGATGGTGGTCTTCGGGGAGGCACACGAGGTGGGTAATCAGGGATGATGAGGGGAGCAGTGAGACACGTACCTGATGATTTGACGGTCTGCATTGGCGACGACGTCGCGTACATTGGTCTTCAGCTTCGAAGTGAATCCTGTTGCATGAACGTAGCTTAGAATAGATAGACTGAGTACAGTAGGCTGGCGCTGAGCGCCGTTCGGTATGAGCGGCATTCGATACTATGTTGGTGTGGCCAGGGAGCATCGACATTGACATAGGGTTCATTGTATTGCTCTTGTTTGGATGGTATCTTCGTGCATTGTGCTCTCTGCTCGGTACATGACTATCCGGACTACTTCGTGATTTTGCAATTTGGATTTCTGTCTATCGCTTATATTCCTTGCAGAAGAAACAAGGGAGAGGCAAGTACGAAGAAGGAAGGAGGTAGCAGGGAGGATTGATGGCACGCCCATGTGTTCCAGTTTATAATGTGGTGCAACTCTCACCTTGAGCATTTTGTACACACAATAGGCTGAGCAAGCGTACCCCAAAAGGTTCTTCAAATGGCCTTTCCATGTTCGTGAATAAATCATGGCTTCCTGTGGACGATCCCCAATTATTTGGAACATTAGTGAAGTTAGTGTGTGAAACCAAACACCATATCCAAAATCAAAGATCAAGCAGCAATAACCGACAAGGTCGTCATGATTTTGGGAGAGATGGAAACCACCAGTCTGTTTCCTGCCCACGGCGTGCATGCTGCCGCGTTTGGCGGGAAGTACCGGGGCGCTGTTTCGTGGCACATCCATCGAGGCAAAACGAGTCACATGCAATGCCTATTTTGCCTGGACAGATGTCGAGCGAAAATGTGTCGAGGTACTCCCCGCCCAGCAAGGCAGCGCGCATGCTGTGTCTCTGAAAAAATGGCTGGGAAACGTACTGGCAGTTTAAGATACCAGTGCTCAAGCTCAATTACCACCAATGATACCCACCTTCCCTTGCTCTTTTCCCCTCCTCCCACCCTTCTCTCTCTCTCTCTCTCTCTCTCTCTCTCTCTCTCTCTCTCTCTCTCTCTCTCTCTCTCTCTCTCTCTCTCTCTCTCTCGGGGTTTCCCTTGCAGCAGCACAGAAGGATGTTGCATCAGTCTGTCTGACCCTCCCTTACCTCCCTGTCATCTCCCCCGCTCTCTCCCTCTGTAACCCCAACCCAGATCTTCGACTTGTCCTCGTCACTCCAGTCCACTCTGTGGCTGTCATTGTCATCATAGCCACCTCAGTTCTCTTTCAAGTGTATCCCTTTTTGCCCCCTTATCCTCCATCTTGTTGTTGCGCTTATGTCAGTTGTGAGGAATTAGCCCTCACAGGGCCCTTATCACACATGCACATGTTCTGGGAAGAGGCCCTTAGCAAGCCCTGTGCCCGCCCTAAGTGAAGGCGGGCTTGAATATTCACAAGAGGCCAAAAATTGACAATTTTCATATGTGGGTACTCAGACAGTTGCCGCACGCCAGTTGGTTACGTAGAAGCGTGAGCCTACACTGGGCCGGGTAGTTTCGCCAGGCACCACAATGCGAGGCAGATACATCACGAAGTGGGCAAGGGCCTACAGAAAAGCAACATTGTCGACGTATGTGCCCCTGGGCCTGTGCAGATACAGCGGGTGTGCCCAACTGTACTAGGCGCAGGCCCTCAACTGCAAACCTGGGTCTGGGCGCAGGCACCGGGGGCAGACCGGAAGCTACTGGAAGCTTCTTGGCCAGACCCTCGCACAGGCAACCAGGGGCTGCCACTTCCATATAGGAAGAGAGGCAGCCAGGGTCTGACATTCTGGCACAAGCTGGCAATGAGGTCACACTGCTGCGTTGCTGCGCAAGTGGCTGCATGCTGTGCTAATCGGCCAGAGGCGCACACGGGTGCTGGAGGTGAGGGCGCTGCAGGGGCAGCGGGGCGCTAGCGGCCATAGCCGGGCTGCAGGGCGCAGGGCAGGTAGAGGCAACAGGCGGGTCTCCAGGAGGAGCTGCAGAGAGAGAGAGAGTGGGTGTCAGGGGTGACGAGGGGAGACGGGATACGTACCTGGTGCATGAGGGAGGTCAGCAATGGTGTTGACGTCATGTACATTGGTCTTCAAAGTCGAAGTGAGTCTGTTGCATGAATGCGGCTGTAGTAGATAGGCAAGTCATGTAGGCTGGGCGCTGGGCGTCAGACAGAGAGGAGCCACATTGAATACTGTGTTGGTGTGGCCTGAGGGCTTGAACATTGGCTCACGAGTTCTTTGTATTGCTCTTATTTGGACGGAATCTCGGTGCATTTGTGCTCTCTGCTTGTAGATGACTACCTCGTCATCTGCGTGATTATGCAACTTGGTTTTCTGTATATGGCTCTCGCTCATGTTCCGTGCAAAATTGGTATCAGAGCTGGTTCGAGATCACCTATCTGCCACCGGTGACATTGTTACTTGGTGCGCTGACGACGCTTCTGTGCAGTGAGGATACATTGGCACTGGCTTGTGTTTGCGGCACCCGGGTAGAGGGGTGCGCCGCAGGAAGGCTGTGGCAACAGCGTGGGAGCTGTGGCGACAGTGGATGTATGTATGATGATGAGAGCATGCTGATGTGGCATTTTGGCTGAGGTGGCACTGCATTGCGTTGTGGGTGGTACCGAAACTAGACCGGTCATCGAAATGCACGCCGGCTCAATTGGTGAGAAATCTGTGGTTGGGGGCAGCTATCTCCAGGTACGTTGTTCCCTTCCCTTATCTACCCCCTCAATCTCTTCTTACCATGAGGAAGTGAGTCCAACCTTGAGTGTCCTCTCTTTTGTGTAAGGAGTCGTGAGTGCTCTACCTTAAGAGACGACATTCTTCCATGTGGCGCATCTGGCAGAAGAGCGCGGTGCCTCTGAAGGGCCCTGGTCGAAGCACGGGTCCCAGTCACCATACCAACCCATGGGAGTAGTACACGCAGGCCATGCTGCTTGGTCCTTTGAGGCTCTTTGCTGCACTGATAGAAGGGGTGTGCGGACTGAGCAGTCCTATGCGGAGGCTATCCAGACCGTCTATAAATATTTCTGGCAGGGGTCTGAGTCGTCCACAGGCTGTGATCGTCGTCCTGATTGCGACATTAAATAATTCCTGAGGACCGTGGGGGCCGTCCTTAAACTGCCTCTTGATTAGCCAGATCAGTCAGACGTAAGGCTCGTTGCACGCGAGGATAAATAACGGGCAGTTCTGGTCATAAGCATAAACATTGGGCACAGCGGTGGGCCGTTAATGCACACCTTAGACACCGCTGCTCGATGATGTGGACAGGCACGTTGGATACAGGGGAGGGAGACTCCAATTGAGACTCAACTATCAATCACAACTACACCCATTGTGCATACATCTGCTCACACGATCTATTTTTATTTTTCATTAGTTGGTGGACTGACTGCTGACACCTAACAGACAGCCTAGACTAGTACTGCAGTGTTCTACCATTGCCAGTTCTGATCGACACTGCTGTGAGTGAAACTAATCAAGGTAGGAGTAGATCATGTGTACAGTTTGTGTGAATGCTGTTAAATACCGCTTGATCAGTAGCCTCGGCAACTTACCGAATGTTTATTTATTCTTATTTATTTTTCGACTCGGTCAGACACATGCTGTGGTAGGCTCCAGCGAGAGCATTAGTGCACAGAGTGTATGCATAGCTGATGAGCGGACCAGGCAGTGGTGAGGACAGACTGCATGAAGGAGAGTGACACGTCAGGAGTCCCTTAGAGTCCCCATAGTGCACCAAGTTTTACCCCCTGGGGGACAGAGGGCTCTGCAACAGGAGGCAGTAGCCGAACGCTTACAAAGGGCTAGGGAAGCGGCAGCAGCAGCCGAGCGAACTCTGGCAGCGGCAACAGCCACTGTAGCAGCTATGGCTCCGACTGCTGCTACCTCAGCAGCTACCTCAGCAGCTACATCTAGTCAGATGAGTTTACGCATGCCGCTCACTTCGCAGGCCACATCCAGCACAGTGGCGACAAGCTTTTCCAGTCAGAGGGCGGCCTCGTGGTTCAGCTCACCACCTCCACGCACTAGGGAAGCCATTGAACTCCAGCAAGTGGAGTTGATCCGCTTACGGCTAGAGAAGGCACTTAGAGAAGCTACTGAACACCACGCGGATCCTCAAGGCAGGTCTCCTGTCCATGCACGCATACATGGACAGCAAACTGGATGCTATCCAGGACACCCTTGACCAGATTCTGAGCACCATGCAGGGAGTGGGAAGAGCTTTCCCATCTCCAATAGGTGGGCCCAGTTTCCGGCCTCCAGCTTTCCCATCGCCAGTTGCCACACCGATGATGATTGGTCCTACTATGTCTCAGTTTAGCAGTTCACCGAGTGGTACGTCAGCAGCAGCTACACAGACTGCTGCTTCTTCATCTTCTGGAACAGCAGCTGCAGCTACACAACAGCCGGTCCCATCAGCCTTGGTACCCCAAGATTCCACTGAAGCCACCCTCAACCTTCTCAGGTGATAAGAAGGATGAGGCTCTTGACACTTGGTTAAGAACGGTTCCAGTGTGGGTCGGGACGAACAGGACGCTGGTAGAGGAGGAGGTGATCACTGCCGCATCCTGTCGGAAGGGTCAGCAGCGCGATGGTTAGATGATTAGAGGCTTCAAAGGAATTCGGGAGAAACACGAGTGAGTGGGCAAAGACCCAAACTTTAGAGAGTTTTATGGACTTGGTAGAAGCGCGCTGGCACAACCCACAGAAGGCCCAGCAGGCCACTGATGCGTTGCTCCGACCTGATGCTAAGAAGTACAAGTCTGTGCGCGAACTTACCTCCACCGTAGAACGTCTCATTGTGGTCCCAGGAGTTCGCTATGATCCGCAGGTCTTAATGACCATGTTCTTGAGATGTCTTCCCATAGACATCCGGAACTCGCTAGCCAGCGAGGCTCGCCTCGAATACCAAACATTTGAGACCGCAGAAAGGCCTTGGACTTAGAGGCCACGCTAGGAGGTGCTCAACCACCCTCAACCGACATTTTGGCTATAAGAAGACTGGTGCTAACTTAGTGCAACGATTCTGGTGGCCTAACATGCTGGACGATGCCAAAAAGTATGAACAGACCTGTCAGGCCTGTCAGTGGGACAAGTCGCGGACTCGAGCTCCGCTTGGGTTACTAAAGCCTCTACCCATTCCTACTGGTCCAGGACAGAGTGTTTCCATGGACTTCATGGATACCCTCATGACCAGCAAGAGTGGCAAGATGCATATCTTCGTCATAGTTGATAGGTTCACTAAGTACGCTAGACTAATTGCCATGCCGGAGACCGCCAGGACTGAGCATGTCATCAAGTTATTCATGGATAACTGGGTGCGTGACTTTGGACTGCCAAAGACTATCGTTAGTGATAGAGATGTCCGCTTCACTGGTGAAATGTGGAAGAAGGCTGCAGAACAGATGGGCAGCCAACTCCCGATGACTTCTGGGAATCATCCCAAAGCCAACAGGCAGGCTGAACAGATGAACCAAGTGGTGCAGCATCTGCTGAGGCATCACATAAAGCCCAGCCAAAATGACTGGGATGAGAAGTTACCTCTCATCGCCAGTCTGTACAACAATGCTATCGTTGAATACCGTGTTGGTGTGGGCTGAGGGCTTGAACACTGGCTCACGTGTTCTTTGTATTGCTCTTATTTGGATGGAATCTCGGTGCATTTGTGCTCTCTGCTTGTACATGACCATCTGGTCATCTGCGTGATTATGCAACTTGGTTTTCTGTATATCGCTCTCACTCATATTCCTGGCACAGTCTACTTCCTGGCCCATACCTAAACACATAGACCTCCGCCTTCTCCTCTCCTCCTTGTCCTCATCCCCCACCTCTCCCCCGTATACTCTTTTAAATCCCTCTTCCAATCCTCATTCTTATCCATGCCATTCCCCTCCCCATCTCACTTTTACGGTTTTCGCTTGTGTGGATTCCAACATGCCAACAAAATAGTGCAGCACATCACATGAGGTATGATGTAATTATGTAGGTACCTCATGACATACCAGCCCAGCTGTTTGAAACGGCATAGGCAATCCACAAGCATATGAAATGCAACAGTGAAAGGCAGGCTGTGTATCATCTCCAAAGACAGGCCACCAAATATAGTGGCTTCCTCACAAAAAAAGCACAATTTGCAAAATAAATGAAGAGAAGATCCGGCAGCATGAGGCACATTAAAACCATTCCTTCTGCTTTTTTCGGTGCACACTCAAACCACTCTTTCTGCCTTTTTCTGTTCTTTCTTTTCTTTCTTTCTTACAGCTTCTTTCACTGCTTCTCTTTTCCTTGTATTCATCTCTCCTCTCAAGTATAAGCCTCACCAAGTTGTAGTTGAACAGGAGCTGCAAACACGCCCATGTGTCAAACCAGCCCAAATTCAACATAATGTCCGTGGTCACAAAATGCATACACAATATCCAGATGAAGAGGGTGTATGCCAATCATGAAAGGAGGGGCAGCCCATTCTGGCAGATGCAATGCCTGCGACAAAGTGGAACAGAATCTTCTAGCCGTGCAGAGGGAGAAGCTTGCAGAGCTTTCACACATTGCCCTGATGCGACACCAGGGCAGAGAAGTGATCGGCAACATCCAAGAGTGTGCCGACGGTTTCCTGAGGCAAGAAAACATCATCGTAGCAATTCCTGTGAACGAAACCGTTTACATTGATCATCCCACAGACCATGGTGCAACTGTCCTACAGTTCCCCGCGGTCAGAGGCATGACCAATGCAGGCAGAGATGTCAGACCAAGGATGGAACCACCTCCTCGGTCAAGCATTGTGCAGTTCAAGTTGTGGTCCCTCATTGCAACTTGTAGAACCCCGATTTTTAGGCCTACTTCGCTGGTATAGTGCCTTCTGCCTCTAGGCAGGAAAGATCCACATCAAGCTGAACCGCAATTGCGGGCGAGACCCGCAGACTACCTTCTTCCCCCGAACACAATGCCCGGTCATTGCAACTTGTAGAACCCCGATTTTTAGGCCTACTTCGCTGGTATAGTGCCTTCTGCCTCTAGGCAGGAAAGATCCACATCAAGCTGAACCGCAATTGCGGGCGAGACCCGCAGACTACCTTCTTCCCCCGAACACAATGCCCGGTCATTATAGCCGTATTTGGTGCAACTTTCAGTCTACATACGGCTGTAACGACAGGGCATTCTATTTGGGTGAAGACGGTCGTGGCAGCCAGATTACAGAGATTGGGGGGCTTCTCAAGGAATAGGGGAAGACCACAGAGATATTCCTCATCGCTGTGAGCAGGCTGGAGTGCCAGGCATTACTTATAAAATTATAAATCCATTGAAAGTGCATCATAAAGGTTGCCAGTGTTGCCTCCAGTAGAGGAAGGAAGCATGATGTAATAAAGCGCACTCAAGCAGGACTATCCTGTAGCCTGCTGTTAGTTCAAGTAATAGTCATAGAGAACACCAATATGCTTGTGAAGAAAGCACGAGAGTAGATTGACAGGAAAAGAGGGACAGGAAGGTGAGCAAGAGCCATACCCAAGTCGGTGGCAACTTAGCAACAACAATAAGACAGTGGATGCACAGTGGGAGAGCAAAAGGTGTACCTTTTCTTTCCTAAGATCCCTGATTTCTTCCATGATTTGGTTGGCGAGCTCCTCCAGCGATCTAACCTCCTCTTCCAACTTGCGAATTTCTCCAGAATGAACAGCATCGCAAAACCAGATAGCCGCAGGGTGAGATAAGACAAGTGAAGCAGTTGAATCGTTGAATAACTCATAGCAGCTGCCACCATGATCTACCTGACTTCTGCAGATCAACCAAACTGGTTGATCTGGTGCTCCCAGACATCTGAGACTCACAGGCTATGCAGACTTCAGGACGAGTCAACACCGCAAAAAGATGAACGAGTGGAGACTGTGCCGCCCAATTCATGGCAAAAACAAACTGACTTCAGATGGCGCAGGCCAATTCAGTCTCACGAGCTGGCTGAATGAATCATGTGAGAACTTGAGAGAACTTCACACACACACACACACACACACACACGCGCGCGCGCGCACACACGCAGTGTCACGCACGCACGCACATGCACACACACGCACACACACCCAAAACACACACACACACACACACACAGACACAGAGAGAGAGAGAGAGAGAGAGAGAGAGAGAGAGAGAGAGAGAGAGAGAGAGAGAGAGAGAGAGAGAGTTGTTGCCTTGCCATGCCTTGCCTTGTTAATACTGATTAGTCAAACATTTCCTTTAGGCAAATTTGAAAAATAAAGAAACTGTAAGATGTGGAAAAAAATAACAGAAAAAAGGATAAAATGTTGGCTCACCTTCTGAAATGCCTGATTCAGAAAACAGTCTCGTTCAGTTCACACAATTTTACAGTAGATACTACTAGATAGTCCTTTACAGTAGATACTACTAGATAGTCCTTCACAGTAGATACTACTAGATAGTCCTTTCAGATCATCATGGATGGTAATCTCGTACCTTGCCCCATATCATCCTCTTTCCCTGATTTGACCACTGTGTTGACAAGCATTGTCAAGAATGATCTAGCACCTGCTTGCTGAGCACACACAGAAAGAAAGGTAGGTGGAATCACACAAACGCAGACAAGCGTCGTCACAGAAACAAGTGAACCATCAGTTCAGCTCGAGCCCACTCGCATCAAATCGAAGGGTGAGAATAAAACGAAAGCTTGGAACAGTTTTCTCTTAAACTTTTTGGTTTTTTGGAAGGGATACAGCTTTGACATGTCATTATGACCGGCCCCGGTTAGGTCAGACCTATTTTATTATGTTCATCTGGCCGCATCTGGATTCGAACTTGGGTCTGTGTTTCAACAGTTCACGGGTGCGCCAACTGAGGGCATACTCGCACTAGGACTTTTTCCCTCGGACTGAATCGCAGCTCGATGCAAACAGGTGTGGCCAAAATTACGGTGTGATGCAATATGGAAAGTGCTAGTGTGAGTATGGCCTGAGCTAGGCCCATTCGTAGAAAAGCCTGAACTGTATATCCACAATCACAATGGCGTAACTATTTTAAAAAAATGCATAGATGCGGATTAGACCTCACACCCTGAAGCAATGATTGGAGTCATATTTTAAATGCCTGCCCAACCGAGTCAAAACATACACCCACAACCACAACAAAATGCGCAGAGCAGTTGGGCCCTGCTGGCAAGAAGCAGTCGTTCCCAAGCAAACTCCGCCCCCTTTCCAGTTGGCATTTCAATGTCCGCATTTGTTGGGTCCTTTGCTTCCCCGTCGTCCTTGCCTCCGCCAGCCAGTCAGAGAGTTGTTCAATCATAGACCAGCTGGCAGATTGATAGTAGGACCAACCAACGGGGTAGCCCGGCGTGCAAGAGGCTGGGCAACGGCAGCGCCGAAATACTGTGAACCAACCAACCAAAACAAAAGGAAAACCGAACACAATAAAAGCCTCCACAAACAAAAGCCAAAGCAACCTGGGCAAACTGCAACGATATCACGCAGATCATGTGAATCTGAAAGAAAAAGAAAAAAAAGTGCCACGTGACACAGCAAAGCATAATGCAGAAGAGAAGAAGAGGCAGAACCACACACACGGCAGAAATAGAACACCAAGAAACATCCACTGATACTCCACATCTGCATGGAGAATCCAATTTCACTGAACCCATGTTGCACACAGTGGGGCAGTCGTTACATCATTTGCACACATCGCTGCATCTGCATGGGGAATCCAATTTCACAGAGCCCATGTTGCACATAGCGGTGCAGTCGTTACATCTGTGAGGATTGAGCCCTCGAGAAGGGGCCTTGCCATGATGTACATGTTCTGGGCTAAGGCCCCAGCAAGCCTCGTGCCCGCCCTAAGTGAAGGCGGGCCAGCAAATCAACAAGAGCCCTCTGTGCAAACATTTCACGACGTGGGGTCCATACAGTTGCAGCACGCCAGTTGGTTGGTGTGCACCGAGTCTCAAATCTCTGCAAATGTGGAGATCCCAGGGCCTCTGAGTTAGTTAGGCCCTGGGCACTTGAACGTGAGGCCGACAATGCATGCTGGGTATAGAGGCCGAAAATGCCAAAGGGAAATCGGCTCACTATCTGAATCTGGCCGCAGGCCTTGACAAAAGAGGCGCAACTGCATCACCCGGGCCCCAACTGCATCGGGCCTGGGTTCAGGCACTGGGGCCCAGTCGCAGGCTGAAGGGAGGCCGCCCACACGCAACACTGGCACATAGGCAAGCAGGGCGAGTGGGCAGGGATCTTGGCCATTGCGAGCAAGGCCGGCACGCTGCTGCGTTGCATGGATGCTGCGCTGCGCTAAGGCTGAGGAGAGCAGGACAGCGCTAGGCGGTAGGGCGCTGCCTGTGGGCGCAGGGCGCTGGCGGCCATAGCCGGGCTGCCTGTGTGCGCAGAGGGGTGAGGGCGAAGGTGGTTCTTCGAAGGTGAAGGCCGCTGTGTGGGTAACAAGGGAGAGTGTGGGTGAAGAGAACACGTACCTGGTGGAGGTGGAGGTCAGCATTGGTGTTGACATCATCACTTGCTGGTAGTCAAGTTGTCTGGTTGCTTTCATTGCTGTAGTTGTAGGCTTAGTCTGTAGAGTAGATAGGGCGCCTGGCGCCATTCACAAGAGAGAGCTACATTGGGTTATGCTGTTGGTGTTGCCCTATTGGGCCTGGACATTGACTCACGATTCTTCTGTATCATTCTCAAATGGATGGTTACTCGATTCCATTGTGCTATCTGCTCTGGCTTTGACTACTTGGACTTCAGTGTGATTTTGCAATCTGGATTTCTGTGCTTCGTCCATATTCATGTTCCTTGCAATTTGGTATCGGAGCTGGTATGATTCACCACTTACCTTTGGCACACTGGCGTTATACAGACTTGGTGCGTTGATGATGCTTCTTCGCAGTTGGTTCTTGTGACGCCAGGCCATTGATAGGCGCACGCCCTGGGTAGAGAGGGGTGCGCCGGAAGGCTAAGACGGCAGTTTATGCCGTGGTGACAGGCGGAATGTATGATTGGTGATGAGAGCATGCTGATGTGGCATTCGGCTGAGGTGGAACTGCATTGCGTTGTGGGTGGTACCGAGGCCAAGGACCGGTCATCAAATGCACACTCAGCTCAATTGGTGAGAAATCTGTGGTTGGGGGCAGCTATCTCCAGGTACGTTGTTCCCTTACCTTATCTACTCTCTCAATCTCTTCTTACCGTGAGGAAGTGAGTCCAACTTGAGAGTCCTCTCTTTTGGTGAGGTGTCGTGAGCTCGCTACCTTGAGAGACGACAATCTTCCCAGCAGCATCTGGAAGGAGAAAGGGCGGTGCCTCTGAAGGGCCCTGGTTGAAGCACTGGGTCACGGTCACCATGCTAACCCAATGGGAGTAGCCCACACATGCGATGGCTGCTGTCCATTTTGGCACTTGCTGCGCTGAATAGAAGTCCTGCCGGGTGTGCCAGCCCATGACAGACGCTTACCAGACGGTCTATAAAGATTTCTGGTTGGGAGTTCATTGTGAATCTGGCTGTGATCGTCGTCCTGACTGCGGCGTTAAATAATTCCTGAAGAGATGGGGGCGCTCTATAAATTCCTCCTGATCAACCAGATCACATGGACAGGAAGGCTCGTCGCCGTACGAGGGTAAATAAGAGTGGTTCGGCTGGCTTGCTCGGTAACGACTTGGGCACAGGGGTGGGCCGACAAACACACGAAGACACCGCTTGCTCATTGATGCTGTCCGGTATGTTGGATTGAGGGGAGGGTAGGTTCCAATTGGTGCTCAACTGTATACACAACCATACCCACTCATCATACATCTGCAACATGGTCTTTCTGTATCTTTGATTAGTTGGTGGACAGACTGCTAACACCTCACAGACAGATTAGATTAGGACTGTTGTATACTACCATAGCCAGTTCTGTCTAATGCTGCTGTAAGAGAACCAATCAGGATACATCT